GTCACCAGTGTAAAACACCTACACAAAACATGTCACCAGTGTAAAACAACTACACAACACAAGTAAACAGTGTAAAACACCTACACCAGTCATCAATTAAAAATGTCTACACAAAACATGTGACAAGTGTAAAGCACCTATATATAAACATGATATATGCATATAATTAATCTCCCTTTCTAACATATAATCCTACTTTAAAGCTGAGTTATCTCCCTTTCTGACATATAATCCTACTTTAAAACTGAGTAATCTCCTCTTTCTGACATATATACCTACATTATAGCTGAGTAATCTCCCCTTTTGATATATAATCCTACTTTATAGCTGTGAAATCTCTCTTTCAAATATATAATCCTACTTTAAAGCTGAGTTATCTCCCTTTCTGACATAAACCTTCTTTATAGCTAAGTAATCTCCCTTTCTAACATGTATACTTACATTATAGCTGAGTAATCTCCCTTTTTGGACATATATACCTACATTATAGCTGAGTAATCTCCCCTTATAACATATAATCCTACATATAGCTGAGTAATCTCCCCTTATAACATATAATCCTACATATAGCTGAGTAATCTCCCCTTCTAACATATAATCCTGCATATAGCTGAGTAATATCCCCTTCTAACATATAATCCTACATATAGCTGAGTAATCTCCCCTTATAACATATAATCCTACATATAGCTGAGTAATCTCCCCTTATAACATATAATCCTACATATAGCTGAATAATCTCCCCTTCAAACATATAATCCTACTTTAAAGCTAGTTATCTCCCCTTCTAACATATAACTTTATAGCTTAGTAATTCTGACATATATCCCTACCTTACAGCTGAGAATTGCCTCCCCTTTCTGACATATATCCCTACCTTACAACTGAGAATTGCCTCCCCTTTCTGACATATATCCCTACCTTACAACTGAGAATTACCTCCCCTTACTGACATATATCCATACCTTACAACTGAGAATTGCCTCCCCTTTCTGACTCAGATTCAGTTTGGCATCCAGGTTTGGGTCAGAGTACCAAACTTTCCATCCCTGCTCCTCAAACGTAGCTGTAACAAGATCATAAAAGTAATAAGGTCACAAGGTCACATGGTTCAGGTCAAAAAGACATCAGGTTCATAGAATAATGATTCCAAAAGGATTGAAGTGTCACAGGGTTACAGTGTGACAGAGTTGTTCAAAAGGTCAAAAGGTTACAGGAACAGTGCCACCATTTGTCAATAAAACAGAGCTTGTTTAAATGTTATCATTATTCAACCCAATATTTATCTTTTGTAACCTGCTTATATTACTTGTTAGACAGTAATGGTGCTTCCACCGGGGATTTAACCAGCAGTCCCCACCTTCCCAGTGCGCCCTTTCACCGATTGAGCTGAAGGAAATTTCCATTATAGCGCAAAGCTAGAAGGTGACAATGATCCTAAGTACATTTAAAACCTGTCACACTACTCCCCCCTTTTTAAATGTGTTCCCCGTCTAACACCACAACCACCAAGCTTCTAACTTCTTGTCACCACAGGGAGGGTTACAACAAACATTTGTAACACTGGAAAGTAGTGTGCATCTATTGAGTAATATTTTCATTTGATCTGCATCCTTCCACTGCAATGCATTGAGACAGCAATATAACAACATCTGCTATTGCAGCTTCATCAATCTCTATTGTGATGTCATCAATTCCATTGTTGTCGAGACTTAATTTGTTGTTTATAAAACAGGTTTTAAAAATATATGTAATGAATATTTAGGCAAATGTTGTTATGGTCCTATAATACACATTTCTATTGCTGACAAACTTACATAAAGCCCTACCGGGCTTGATTAAGTTTGGCATCAATAGCAATGTGTGTTGTGGGACCATAACAACATTTGCTAAAATATTCATTGCTTAATTGAACTATAAACCTTCAGCTGCCCTGAGTTGGCCTTCATGCAATTTTATTTTCGTGCTTGATTGTGTCCATGCTTATAACATACCTTTGATTCTTCTGACAAAGTCGATGTCCTTGATGTTGTAACTTATCATGACATCACACGTCACCTTTGACTGTAGGTTTATTGCCATTGTTATGTGGAATATCTAAACTGTTGTCGAGTTTGCTGTCAGGACTGTCGTGGCGATGGTTGTCGGAGTTATCTCTGGCACTGGTGTTACAGACAACTGTCTCAGGTACCCCAGTACTTGTTGGCTCGATCACTGAAATCAACATTAAAAATCAGGTTTACAAGTTCAGACAAAATACACAAAAGCTAAACGATTATACATTTGAACCACATGAGGAACACACCAAATTTGACTGAACTCCATAAATAATTACAAAACAGTGGTTCGTCAATTGACTAAGAATGTTTCAGTTTACAGTTGACAGACTACTTTTAGTTTTGTTGTATATATTGTATATTTTATATTGACCACATCTGAAACGAGTCCTTTCCTCAATGTGTATCTGATGTCACCAGGTAACACTGATGGTTCTAGTTGCACCTGATGT